TTCGGTGTATCTTCCGTGCGTCTAGATACACGGAGTGGTGTATCTTCTCTCATGACACGAACCTCCACCCGGGGAACCTCCCAAAGGGGGGGGGCGTGCCGGTCCTTGGCGCCGGCCAGAAGGATTTTTAGGTAAGAAGAGTGTTAAAGCTCGGTCCGCGAGGGCGATGCCAAGAGTCTGCCGCCGAGGGCTCTCTGGATGACGGGAAGACGCACACACGCCTCCATCCACTCCACTCAGAACACCGCAGACTTGAAAAGTGACAAGTGCGCTGCCGCAGGCGAAGAGAATTTTTGAGCTGCAGCTGGGGCTCCGGACCCGTTCACATCACACTCGTGTCTGGCCTTTTCTCGGGGCCGCGCCTGCGGCGCCCCGTGGTTTCTTAGATTTTTGCGGAAATCGCTTGGTAGGGTTTCTTAATGCGACGTTTTCTTAATGCCCGCAACCCACTGTAGAAGATGTAGGATTGCGAGCGTAGGCGCTCACAATCGCACAGAGATGCTACGATTGCGAGGAGTGCTGCTCACAATCCTTCGACTTCTAGGATTGAGAGCGAGGCTGCTCTCAATCCTAAGCCGTCTACCCTTATATAAGTCTCTTGTGCCGGAGCGCCGACCGCTCTTGAAGCCGCGAACCAGCTCATTCAAACTCGGCCGTCCCGCCGCAAATCGTCGGCCTCAGCTCGGGAGCCAACAGCCAGCGCGCATGGGGGGCAAGGAGCGAGAGCGCGAACCGCCACCGGCCACCGACGACGAGGATGCGACGCAGGCGACCACGCAGGAAGGCTGCTGGCGTCGTGGGGGAGTCATCCGGCAATCGCAGCCGACAGCACAGCATCACCAGATCACCGCTGGGCTCGCAAGCAGCGCAAAGCGAAGGGCCGCCGCCATGTCGCAAGGGAGCGGGCGACGAAACGAGTGGCCGACCAGCAGCGACGCCGCCGTGAGCAGCGTGAGAGCAAGAAATCACAGCCCCAGCACCGATCACAAGAAGAAGATCTCTCTCTCTCCGATCACCTTTGACGCTGCGGTGGCAAAGGTCGCGTTCGAGGCAGCTCTCGGCGTGGTGGAGGTTGAGGATTTCCGCGACTGGCTGCTCGACCCACCAGCAAGCTGGACAGCCGATCGACGGTGAACGCATCACCCAGTGGCGCGCCTCCGAAGCGTACGAGCGCGCCCGGCTCGAGTACATGGACGGTTGCATGTGCGAGGGTGCGTGCACGTGCACCTACGATGGCGTAGGCATCGCCCCAGACGTGCCCGGAGTCACCTGCGACTACTTCGACGAGGCGCTTTTGGAGCCGCTCGCCAACGATGGGCAGCCGTCAGGCGGGGATTGGGTGCCGGAGGGCTGGGATGGCGTTGAGGCCGATCGGCATGAGGAGCGGGCTAAAGTCGAGCGTGAGCGGATTGAGCGAGAGAAGCAAGACGACCTCGCACACGCTTCAGAAAATTTGGGTGCAAGATTCTGAGACTGGTGATTGGGGCCTCTCCACCCGTGGCAGCATTGCCAACTTTCGCAACCGCCGTGTAAACTTCTCTTGCGCGTATCAAGCTTACACGGGCGATGCTGCTGAGGCCGATGCATACCTGCGCGACCCGGGTTCAGAGGCGTCACAGGCATGGCTCGAGGCGCAGCTTGCTCCAGGCGGTGGAGGTCCGACACCGCCTGGCTCGCCCGCCTACGGGGATAACTTCTGCCCTACCCCAGACTCGCCAGTGAGGCGGCCACGCGAGGAGGCGCCTGACGACAGCGACGCATATGAGCTCGACCAGGAGCGCGCGCTGGAGTTGCAGGGGCGCATCTCCTTATTTTACGGCCGGCCTTGGGACGAGGTGCCGAGAGGCGCGACGGTGCCAGTGACTTGCGAGTGGACCATAGCATCATTCAGCCGACAGCAGCAAATGCAACGCCCGCTCTCGCCCGCACCGGTAGCCACGGACTTTGACATTGAGGACGAGTTCCTGCAGGAGCGTGCGCGGTGGTTCCGCGACCACGGCGGTGGCGGCGAGCTGGAGGGCTCGACGCGAAAGCAGAAGAAATCGACCGCCAGAAGCCTGAAATGCAC